GGAGTTTGAACAGGCTCAGGTCCCCACTTCCTGGCAGTCTCAGCCCTAGGCCTTCTGCTTCCCCTCAGAGCTGGCAATGCTGCCCACCCCTCCTCTTGAGGAAGCTTGTCACCACGGTCTCGACACATGGCCATGGCAGACCCGCCACCACAGCACAAGAGGCAATGCATCAGCCCCAGCATCCTGGCCAGAGCCCAGCTCACAGCCTGCTGTAGGCAGCTTATCTGGCATTTCACTAGGCTGAGGAGGTGCCCCCCAGAGCATCTTGCCCCTGCCTAGCATGAGAGGAGAGGGGCACAAATGGGACTTAGCACTGCTGCTTTGCTGTCCCTTGACTTCCCTTTCGGAGACAAATCCCCAAAGTTTTGAAGTGACAGAGGAACCTCAAAAAACCTATCAAGCACGGAAGTCCTGGGCACAGGCCTGGCCCCAAGGGAAGCTCACAGCACAGGGAAACCTTGGGCTTGGACACATCACCTGCAGCAAGTCAAGAAGGGTGATGTTTGCTCCCTCTGCTCCTTTCCCAGCTCCAGAGCTGTTCAGCTTATCCCCATGCTCAGCCAGAGCACAGATGCTCCTCATACAGCTTCCCACCCCCACAACTGTCATCCACCAGGTTGTCCAGGTCTCACCCCCTCATCAGGCCTGGCAGCCTGCAAGGAGCCCTGCCACTGCCCAAAGCGCCTTCCAGTGAGCGTTGTCCTGGATGCTCCCTGGAGCATGGATGATGCCTCATGCTGCTGTGGACTCCCCAGGCCTCCTGCTGCTCTAGTGCAGGATCTGCTCCAAGGACTTGGACAATGCTTCATCCTCGTGCTGCCCTGGAGCAGAGGGAGCTGCCCAGCCCCCACAGCACGGCACAACCCCTTACCAGTGATGATGGTCCTGACCAGGCGCTCTTCATCCTCTCCTCTGCATCTCAGCATGCCCTGGAAGGGCCCACTTGGGGATGGGACCTCCAGGGGCCTCTCCTGCTCTGCAGGTGTTGCCCTCTGTCCCCCGCTGGCCTCTCTTGTTGCTGCTGAGGGAAGAGTGTTAAAACCAAGGCATCTCCTGGCTTTGGGGCCATGGACCCAGCTTTCCTGAACTGGCTGGTCGAGGCACTCAGGGTGCCACTGGTGGTACCCATGCAGGTCTTTCCTGCAGACCTCGTGCCAGGAATGCCAGGCTCCAGGCAGAACCAGATGCTGCTCAGGGCGAGGCAGAGCTGGGCTTGTTTGGGAGATCAGCCAGGCCGAGTTAAACAGCACCATGGGACAGAGAGCAATTGCCAGATGCTTCTGCATGCCACGTGCTGGACTGGAGGCTGCCAGATTGCCATGCAGAGCAGTCACTGCCTGGCAGCGCCAGGCAAGTTGCAAACTTCCTGTTCTCACTCCCATGTAGATCCCCGACTAGCCAGATGCCGCAAACTCAGCCAGCAGCTCCCCTCCCCTACCGCCCTGAGCACCAGCCAGGAAGGGCAGCAAAGGCACCCTGGGCCTTCCACTAAGGGGAATCTAGGGTTCTTGCAGGGCAGATCCAGGCTTCTGGGTACAGAGAAGCACATAGTGCCTCAGAAGCAAGACCACCACTAAGCCATGCAGTCCCCATGCCTCCCCACTGCTCCGGGGTCTGTAGTGCTCAGGACAGGGCTTCTCAGCCAGCCCAGCCCCGCCCCACCCCAGGTGCTGCACTCTAGGTTTACATGAAGGCTGTGTGGGTGCTTTCCCATTATGGGACAAGCAGCAGCAGAAGGCGAGCCCAGAATAGCAGCTAGAGGGATGTTTCCTGGGAGCAGATCTGTTAATGAGAAGCTTCACTGCCCATCTGCAGAGGTCTGAGCAGACGGGCAGCACTGGCACCACAGCTCTCTGCTGCTCAAGGGATGCAGAAGAAGGGACATGGTTGCCACTGAGCATCTGGCACAGCATGCGAGGATGCTGGGAAAAGGGTCAGTCACCCCCAAAAAGCTGTAGCCATTTGCAAGGGGGTTAGGCAGAGGCTCAGCAGAGTCGCTACCAGGAGGGCTGCAGAACCTTCCTGAGGCTTCCCATGATCCAAGCTGCAGCCCAGACACCCACCAGCCCCCATGGCTCCTGCAGTGCTTAAGCCCTGCACTTTTTACCTAGACATGGGGAGACAGGGTAGGGTCCTGCTAGGGGGAAGACCAGCCTCTACTGCTTCATTGCTACAAAGACACTTGCCTGCAGGGTCCTGGATCTGCTTCATGTAGTTCTTCAGCTGCTTCTGGAGCTTGAGCTTGCTCCTTTCCTGCCTCTGCAGCTGCTCTGACATCTCCTGAGGGGCCACAAGGGCCAAGGATCAGAGAGCCCTTTTCAGCCACCCCCAGCACTGGGACAGGAGCTGCTTGCTCTCAGGTGCACCTGTCCAGTCAGACCACCTTGTGCTAGGGCCAGGCCTGGCCAAGAGGCAGGCTCTGGCCAGGTGAGCAGACTTGGGGGTGGGGTTCTCAGCATGCAGTGCTCCCAAGGCAGGAGGGATGCTATTGCCCAGCATGCCAACTGGCCAGTGCACAAGGCCCAAGCTGGCCCCACAGCACATACAGCTGGGCAGTGGGCAGTGACCCCAAAGCCCAGGCCCCTTTACCAAGTTCTCCTCCTTCAGCTGCACGATCTGGTGCTGAAGCCCATCCCCGCTCTGCTGGTGCTGCAGGTCCTGGATCAGGCTCTGCTGCTGCCAGGTGAGCCGCTTCAGTGAGCGGATGTCCTGGTGGAGGCCTTCCCGTTCCTGCTCGTGCTGCTGCTGCTGCTCTTCCAGCTGCTCCTCCAGCAGCCTGTGGAAGGACAGTGTCAAGGGAGGCACTGGAGCAAGCCACCAGGAAGTGCAAGTCTCCTCCTCTCAAGGCTTTCCAGAGGCTGAAAGGCACTTGCCTGGGATGGTTTAGGACTAGGGGAGCCTGCATCTGTGCAGAGGTTAGATTACATGGCCATGAAAATCCCTACCAACCTTTTAGGCAAAAAGGCAACCAGAAGGTGGATGAAGCTTCATGAAGCACTCCCTTTGCCCCTCCAAGGGGGAAATAAGCAGTGAACCCCATTTGCCAGGTGGGGAAGAATGCTTCTTAGCCTCCCTGGCTTCTTTAAACCCAAGGCAGAGACTTGTCTAAAACCCGGAAGTCCTGGTTTCTAGCCCTCAGCTCCTAGGACAGGCTTGCTAGGTACCAGCTGGCTGCTGCACACTATCTTCTGAGTGGTTTGTTTTTAGGTGCTGAAGCAGAAGGGCTTCCCTAGCTGCTGGGCAACAGTTGAGTATGCCATGATAGGGCTTCTGCCCAGGCCAGGTACAGCCAGGCTCTACCTTGGTCCAGTAGTGAGCCTGCTGGGGTGGGAAATGCTACACTATCCCAGCAACCCCTCCCCAAATGCCAGTGCAGACTGCACTGGGCTCCACAGATACTCTATTGAGAGAATGGGACAGACTTCTCCTCTAATTCTCAGGGAAGCTGAGCAGCCAAAGCTGCCAGCCAGTTCACACAGAGCAAGGGACAGACCCAGCTTGAACTCTAGCCCCTGAAAGCTGTCACTTGAAGTTCTGCCAACTCCAGGAAGACGGCTGTAGCCAAGAGGCATCACCTACCTATGCTGGAAATGCGGCACGAGATCCCAACCTGCTGAGACAGGGGGCTGTGCATGCAGCCAGGGAGGAAATGCCACCATCATGTCTTATGTGGCAATGCTTTGCTCAAATGCCCTTTGTTTTCATGCAGTTGAAGGCTCACTCTAATTTAAACCACAGGTTGGTACATAGAAGTGAACCCCTGCTTTCAAAAGACTTGTTTAAAAATAAAATAAGATTTGGCACCTGCACCTTGCACAAAAGCGGGCATTCTGCTTTCTGCTTAAAGGATTTGAGGGGAGGCTCACTTGGCAAGACTGAAGCCTGGCATACTCAGCTGCTGCTGCTGCACAGGATTATGGCAGCTGTCCCCCTCTCCCCCCCAAGCAAGCTGGGTGTGCTGGGGCCTCCCCAGAGCTTCACATCCCCTCTCCTGTGGGCTTCGCTTCCCCCTAGTTTCCTACAATGCATGGTTCTTTCACCAAGAGGCAAGGCTGCCAAGCAGCCCAGCCCAGGAGGAAGAGGAGTGGAAGCACAAACATGTGTACATGGCACCACAGCACTTCAGTGGCAAAAAGGCAATGGCATCCTAGCAAGGTGTTTGGAGTTTTTTTTTTTGTTTTGTTTTTTTTTTGAATATCTGAAGAGTTTTCTGTGGGGGAAAAAGCCATTTTTCAAGTAGCCAGTTCAGCTGTCCCAGAGCATCTGTGCACACACCTGAATGGACAGGAGCTGGAGTCTGAGCCAGGATCACTGTATGCATTAGCTGCTCGATGACAGCTGGAAGCTTGATTGGTGTTTGCATCTTTCACACAGATTGAGCGCCAAACACCAAATCATAACCCTATGCAGACAGCTCTGACCTGGCTCTGCACCATACCTCTGCTCCACCAGGGTAGCAGGAGGTGGGGCAGGGATTATGAACACCCCACCATGCTCCAGACCTGCCAAGGGGGAAGGAGCAGCATGTGGACACTCACCTGTTGGTAACCTGGACAGCATCATATGCATGCTTCAAGTCCTCCTCCACCATTTTCTCAGGGCTCCTGTTCAGTCCAAAGAGCTCAGCAATGTACTGATGGGGAGAAGGCAGCTACTGAAAGTCAGGTCTTCAGGTGGAAGTGCATGTCCCAAGACCTGCTGCCTGAGCCAGGGGAAGGGGATGGAGGCAGGTGCCTTACCCAGGGCCTGAGGAGCTTCTTGTCCTCATGAGCCAGCTGTGCCTTTGCCTTGTGTAGCTCCTCCTGGGTCCTGGCCAGCTCCTTTCTGACAGCATTGAGCTGCCCCAGGAGGATGTAAGCCTTTGAGGGGTCCTGCTCACCATCGCTGCTCAAGGAAGATGTGGTGCTGTCTGACCTGGCCCTGTACTGCTCAGGTATCAGCCTCCAGGGATCCTTCTCCTGGGTCAGAGGCTGGGATGGGGACTGGGCAGAAGGAAGAGAGTGTGGCTTGGGGAGGATGTTTTTACTCAAACACCTCGGTATCTGTAGCCACCCCCACTCAACGAGAGCCCAAGACAACCCACCTCTGCTGGGGATGTTGATGGACAGCTCTGAAGCACAAGGGGCCATGTGGGACAGAGGCTTGTAAAGTTTAATGAGGGGCACCATAGGCCAGCAGGAGACAGGACCCTCACATTTGTGGGGAAGGCCTCAAAAAACAGATAATAAGCAATTGGCCTGAGTGCCAGAAGAGAGGGAGCCAACTGCTTAAGAAAGCAATTGTAACAGCCACTTCCTGGATGCCAGGGGTGGGGACCACCTTTGACAGGGCTGGAGAACTGTGTACAGGAAGCTGGCTGGGCCATAGCCTGCAGGGTTGCTGGCAGGTGACCCCTGTGCAAGCACAAGATGAGCACAGGACTCTGGATCATGTCTGCCAGTGTTCCCTAGCAAGAGGGTGGGTACAAGGAGGACTGTCCAAAATCAAAGCAAGCCTGGCTCTGTCACCCATGTCCTTCAGGCATAAACTTTCCTGTTTGTGGGAGGCCTTCAGCATTGGGAGATGTAGTTCCCAGTGTATGTGGAGCACTGAGCACCTTGGCCAGCACATTTTGGACACATTCTTTGGTCCAGCCCCACAGCTACCTGCAAAAGAAGCAACGGCCAGGCAACCTGAGCTCAGTGAAAAAGAGCCTAGCAGGTGAGCCCGATGCCAGCCCCACCACCACTCCCGATAGCAGGGGCTGGAAAGCAGTTTGTGCTCTGCCAGTGCAGACAAGGGAAGGCTGTACATACAGATGGTCATTTCTAGCCAACAGGACTGATCAGGCCCCATTTTTTTCCCCTGACACCTGTGCACATGATGGGACAGGATGGAAGGGGAGGATATGACAGTCTGGCAGCTGGGATCCTAGCCACATACCTTCTGCACTCCTGCTTGCAGCCAGCCAAGAGAATGGGGTTGGCCATCGTCTACATCCGGGGGGTCAAACCATGCCCTGCTCCTTAAGGGGAAGTGGGCAGGAGCAGAGCGCCATCTCACCTCTATCTGCTGGATGGGTTCATCCCGGGATAGGGCTGTAGACCCAGACTGGTAGCTGCTCTCTGAGTCCAGAATACTGTCAGAAGATGGGGACCTCCTGAAGCCTGTGGTGTGCTGATTTGGAAGAAAAGGTACAGGGCTGCATTACAACAAGGTCAGGAACCCAGTGGGCATTACATCAGGAGTGCAACAGGCTGGGGGCAGCAGAGCAGAGCAGGGGACTCTGAACACACCTGCGCTGTTGTGGCCTGGACAGTCCAGCCCAGCTGCAGCCATGACTAAGTACATGAGGCAGGATACCCACCCCTGCATATGGGCTGGACATCTTCCCATAGGGCCAGAGAGATACTTGCCTCTTCCCTTTTTAGGGAGCATGGCCAAAGCTGGCCACCTTGCAACTCCTAGAAGCCTTGACCCAAAGTCATAGTCCAAGGCCATTTGGCACCTGGCCCCAGTCAAGGGAACAGGGTTCTGGGCACCTCCCTCAACACCTTATAAAAACCCACCTGGCATGTGCACAGAGCCATCCTCCAAGGGGGCCTGGAGACTGCTGCTGCCAGAGCCCCAGCCATGAGGGCACAGCTCTTCCACTGATGCAAGCACCACCTGTGGGTGAGCAGCTACCCCATGTCCCCCACAACCCCCGCTCCCTGCTTCACCTACATTCAGCTGCATCCTTTCATCTTGCACCTTGTTATGAGCCCCTCTCCATGGTACCCCCTAGGCAGCACCAGTCCTGCCCCAGCCTGGTCCTCATGCTCTCACCTTGTGGAAGGCCACCTCCTCCCGCAGGTTCTCATAGCCTTGCTCCAGGCGGGCATACTCCTTCACCAGGCTCTGGTAGCGAGACCTCTCCTCCTCCAGCTCACACTGCAGCTCTCTGCTCTCCACCGACAGGCGCTGGCACATTTTTTCTGGAGCAGGGTGGAAGACCCAAGTGGAGAAGGCAGCACCCATCTGCAGGACTGAGTCCAGGGTGGGCCTACCAAGGGGATGCAAGACTTGCTCACCCCACCCAGTGGGGTCAGGACCAGGGCTGACCCCAGAAGCCCAGCAACTATATCTTACAGGGCAGAGCTGCCACACTGTTCTTGTAGGGAACCCAGACAGCCCAGGAGACTGTGGGCTGGTCCTTATGGCTTTGGTTTGTAAGCCCCCCACCCCTCCCTCAATGTCTGACCCCTAGGATGAGACTGGGCAGAAGGCTTGGCCTCTCCCTGTTCTGGATGGAAAGGGACCACACTGGTTTCTGGGATCAGCCAGGCTGAGCTCCCAGGGTACTAGGTTGTAGGCAGCCTGTATTTGTAAAGTGCCAACAAGGCACTTGGCTCTGTCTTAGTGCAAGAAAGGAGGCAAAGACAGGTGGCATGGCCCACAGCCTCAGGCACAAGGTCCCTGCCCCTCACCTTGTGTCTGGAGATTTTCTTCTTTGCTTAAAATTTTCTATATTCCAAGCCAAATTAGCCAAAACAAGTTCCAAATCCAAGTCTCCAGAATCGTGAGTGGCCTTACTACCAGCAAACATCCTCCACCCCCATCTGGGGCTTCAGATGTTTCCAAAACCTTTGGCAGGCATCTTATGTGCAGGCCCAAGCCCAGAGGCTTGGAGTTTAGATGCCTCAGAGTTTTGCTTGCCCTCAGCCATAAGGCCCCAGGGAAAAAGTCTCTCCTTTCCATAAAGTGGGCTTAAAGCCAAGAGCTGCCCGGAGTGGGAAGGTTACTATACATTACCTTAGCAGGTACTGTGGCAGGAAGCCACCTTTGTTTCTCCCCAAAAATCTCTGCCCTGTGACAATTTGGTCAGGATGGACCCAGCAGAGGAGATGCACCTTTACCCTGTCTCTTTAGGTAACCTGAGCTGGCTACAGTCCTGAGGGAGGGGGGAAACCTGCTCCTTCTGCCTACGTGACTGGTATCAGCTACCTGGGTGAGGAGCATCTACCTGGTGGGCTAGTCTGCCCGGCAACTAGTGACGTAGTTCAGGTTGGTTGGCCAACAGCCAACAGGTGCTGGCCTCCATTGGACCAGGGAAACGAGGTCACAGGAGCTATATAAGTTAAGACTGCCCAGGAGGAGGGGGCAGCAGCCATGCAGGGGACTCAGACTTAGAGAGGAGCTTGACCATCTGAAACTGGCTCTCTCCCCCATAACGGCCTGCCTCCAGAGGGGATCTCCAACAGCCTCGGGATGATGCTTGTGGTCTGGTTAGATATCTAGCTAGCAGTAACTCAGATGTGTGGTCAAAAGGCTACCTCAGCCAGACTGTTTTGCTCAATGGGATTTCCACGATATTGCTCTATCTTGTACCCTATTTTCACCCGACCCCTGTAATCAATAAAGTTCTCCTTTGTGACCAGTGTAGGAGACTTGTTGAGGGGTGGGTCTAAATTATGCCTAAGAGACCCTTTAGGTCTGCGGACTAAGAGGGACTTTCTTTTTTGGCCCCCGACTTGGGGAAGTGCCCCAAGTACTTGTACTGGGTCAAGTACCCATTGGACTATTAGGCCTGTGTTTCCCTGAGGACACAGGGCCGAGAGAGTCCCATCTCAGGGTGGTGGCAGCTACGTTACTCCCAGGCTAGCGAGTGTGCTCCAGGAAGGGGGTCAGCCAGATGCGAGGCACCCCCAGGGAGGCACTCGGAGCCGGGAAGGTGGTCGGGTGCAGGAAGGTGGGTGGCTCAATGCAGGAGCGCCCCCTACTGGCTCACCACAGGTACTATCCCTGTGCCAGGACAGCAGCCTTCCCCAGTGTGGCTAGGAAGACCGCCTCCATGGTCACAGTGTTTTCCTTGCCAGGAAAGCACACTGACTTATGCAAGCACATTGTAAAGGTCTGCCCTACAATGGAGAGACTGCGGGACCTGAACCTGTTCAGCTTTCACAAGAGAAAGCTGAGGGGGGACCTGGTAACCATCTATAAACTCACTAGGGGGACAAGAAGGGCTCAGGGGAGACCTCATTTCCCCTAGCACCCTCTGGCATAACAAGGAATAACAGCCACAAGTTGTTGAAGAGGAGGTTTAGATTAGACATCCGTAAGAACTACTTCAGTCAGGGCGGCTAGGATCTGGAACCAGCTTCCAAGGGAAGTGGTGCTGGCTCCTACCCAGGGGGGTCTTTAAGAAGAGGCTTGATGCCTACCTGGCTGGAGTCATCTGAGCCCAGTTTTTCTCCTGCCCAGGCCAGGGGGTTGGACTTGACAATCTACAAGGTCCCTTCGACCCAACTTCTAGGATTCTATGACTTATTAGTAAAATGTTTAGGATTGAAAATCCAAGAAATGACGACAAGGCCAGTAGGGAAATGCAGATCGCCCGACTGAGGGACTAACAGTGGAGGGATGGGGGTGCGGAGGGGAATGCAACTAGGTTACAGGAGATACAATGACTACACTTGATCTCAGCCTTCAAGGAGGCTGAGAAGTGAGGTGTCTGGACATGCTCATATAACAATAAGTCCAGAGCTACCAGGGGAAAAAAAGGGGGGGGCCTACATGGGAACAGCCTGAGCAGAACCCGATGAGCCCCAAGGAAGTAGTGCAGCAAGTTTGGACTGAGGCGGCAGAGCCCCGAGATTCAAGGGACTCCCTGCCACCAGGTTAGTTTGGGCTAAGTGACCAGGAGGCTGGCTCGCCATACAGCCACTGGGATCTCTCCCTCCTGGAAGAGCAGAAGCTAAAAGTCGGCCCTGGGTGCAGAAGTGCAAGTCGCTGCCAGCCACCAGCCTCCTCTGTGCCCCTCAATGGGGGAGTCAAATCCACTTACCAGGTAGCCCCAAACCCAAACACTGGCTCCCTCCCCACAGGACAGGCAGCAGCCACCAGGCTGGCAGGGCTAGGGCAGAACTGACCTTCCACATCCTTGGACTGCTCCAGGATGCGCCGGTTCAGAACGTCATTCTCTTCCTTCAGACTGGACTTGGCAACTTCCAACTCTGTCATATGCTGGGGAAGGGAGACAAGGGGTTGGCAGGGTGGCACCAATGGGAGCACAGCACCATGCTGCAGGTGTAGAAATGTTACAGGCTGCCAAACCCCACCCCACCAGCCCTGACCAGGGTCAGAAACGCTATGGGAGCAGCCAGATGATGAACAGAGGGGAAGAGCTGGTCGGAGTACTGGACACTGGCTAGGCAGGGACCTGCTGCACTACCTTGTACCAGCTCACTGCAGCTGCCAGGACATGGGATGCCCATGAGCTCAGCAGGTTGGTTTCTGGGGCACAGACTGCCATCTCCCCTACAGCAGGGAGGGTGGCACTGGGCCAGGGTGGGGGTAGCTTTGGTTCCTTTGCACTTAGGAGCCCTGTCCCCTTCCTCCAACAGGGCTCTGCAGGAAGAGCTGCCCAGAGCCAGAAGCCAGTCCCCCATAGGCACCTGTTTCAGCTGCTCGAGCTCCTGGCACAGCCTCCTCTCCAAGCTCCTCTTCTCCAGCTCCATGCGCTGTAGCTGTTCCTGCAGGCCCTGGATGTGCTGGTCCTGTGCCTTGTCCTCACGCAGTTGCTGCATCTCACCACACAGCCGCTCCACCTCCTCGGCATGGGAGGTACTCAGCACCGAGAGCTGCTCCAAGAGGCTCCGGTTCTCCCGGGCCTTGGGGGAGGCAGCAGGAAGCAGTGACCAATTTCAGGGTCTGAGTGCCCTCATGCCCAAGTGTAGTTTGGGCCAGACAAGCCAACCTCAAGCCCTATGACTCCCCAGCACCTTGCCACAACCCAGGTGGTGACAGACCCTTGGCAGCTGGGAAGACTGAGGCACAGAAAGGATGCAACTGGCCACACCCATGACAAGTCAGAGTCCTAGCCAAGACTGGGACCCAGGAACCTGGCTGCTGTTTCCTACTTCCCCCAACACTGCAGTGCATGGTCCCAGCCTCCCATTCCACAAAACCTACAGGAGTTGAGGGTAAGTAGAAGTATGCAACCTGCATGGGAAATTGTGTATATAAGGCAAATGCTACATTTGCCCTCATTTCCAACATTCTTAACTGAGATGGACACTTAGCTTTTCCTTTATAAGCTCTGGAAG